ACGTACTGCGTTGCTTCGAAATAACAGATGCTGGAATCAGTTTTGACAGATAGAGGTCATCATAGGGCATGCATTATGCATATTGTTAGCAAAAAAAAACCAAAACATTTTTGAATGTCTGCATGAAACTGTGAGGGTCATTCAGTGCTGTTCATAAATGCAGAGCAGCTGTAAGAAATACAAGTAGTTTTATATGTTCACATTTCATATGTAATGGGTATTCTGACATTATGTGCTATGTTAATTGTAAAATGTAACCTTCTTCCTTGACTCACAACTGTGAGATTAAATACTGAAATGCGTGGTATGGTTTATGAAAGGTTTTGTTTTTCTATAGTGTAGCCAAATTGGTACTTTGCAAACCCTGACTTTAGCATGCTTTCAGCTTTTCTCATGAGCTATGATTTAGATCGTCAATTTGTGTTAGGTCTGTGACCCAGAGCTTGGCTATGAAGACTTTTCTAGGAATCTGGGGGTTTTCCTGGTTTTCAAGTGAAGTAAATTTCAGCTGCTTATTGGTGGAATAACTGGGTCAGTTTGCTTTTTGAATTCAAGGTTGGAAACTGCTGGGCTGGTTTTGCATCTTTAAATTAGGAAGTTTCCTGACAAAAGCTTTCAGTAGTGTGGAGATCTGACCTCATGGAAGGGGTTTTTGCTATTAATTATAACAAAGCATAGCTGAAATCCTGACCTTGTCCTTTGTGTTGGAATTTTACCTGCTTTTAAACATACTCATGAATAACATTTTTGTGCCAGATGTGTTTCCAGAGGTTTTCTGCAGTTGTTGGATACTCTAGGTACTGCAGCCATGTATACTGCAATGGCAATGTCTCTAATGCTTATCATATTTCACATTTTAGTCATTAATGCATAATGTTTCTATATGTTTTCTATCACAAATAATCCATAATTACACTTAAAACACTGCAGGTTTCTGTAACATACTGCTTTTTCTTGTCTGCATTGTTATATTACAGCAAGTACTCAGGATTCGTAATGAGTATATTTGTGATGAATCCATGTGCCAGTTAAGAATGGAATTCTGAGGTAGACAAGGAAAACATTCTAGATCTTGTCTGTCTGAACTTCAGTAAAGCAGTTGATGTACTGCCTCAGAGGAATTGGTCTGTTATGAGAAAAGGCTGAAAGAACTCGGCTCATTTAGCCTAGCAAAATGAAGGTTAAAAGGGGTATGATTGCTCTCTAATAACTATATCATGAAAGTAAATGCAGACAAGGAAAGGAACTATTCAGACTGCCTCCAGATGGGTATATGTTGGCCATGAACTAATTTACACTGAGAAGTAGAAGATTCTAAATGCTCAGAAAAAGTTCCAAATTGAACGGTAGGAACAAAGAAATTAGTTTTAGCATAAGCTTGCTAAACAGCTGAACGATTGTATGAGCTGTTTCTTGTGTTGATGATGGATAGGACGGGATCCGTCACACCCCAGTGTACTATGTATAGGTTAGGAGGCGAAGGGCTGACCAGGTTCTGTCCAATTAAATGTACACCATCTCAGTGTTAATCTGCTAAACTTTTTCTGAGTTACTCATTATCAAACCTGTAATTATACGGTGAAAAGAAAGTTGAGTATTCTGTTTGGAGCTCTTTGACTCTTAACAGCAATTTATTAACTTTTCTGTATCCCATTTATTTCTCTGGGCTTAATGGTGATATAAGGGAAGTTCTGTGAGAAGAACATTTATTCATAGAAAAAGAACTATTTCAGTATAGTGTGTGCTTGTTTCTGATTGATTGGTTCAAATATTTCATTTTGTCTTTTGTTCCTGGAAAAACTGATTTAAAAAAAAAGTTTCTGATTGATTGGTTCAAATATTTCATTTAGTCTTTTGTTCCTGGAAAAACTGATCTAAAAAAAACCGTTTAAAATCATGTAACAGGGACAGGTCCTTTTGATGATATTTTCATGCAATGAGTAAACACATTAGTTGCACATTCACTGTTTTTATAGCCTTGATCATATAGGCTGTCTGCATGTCTGGTATTGCTGATATTGAAATGAATACGTTCTCTATGACTCAGACAATCCTGTTGTTGGAGAGTGAATTTACTTTCAGTTGTTGTACTTTGAGGTACAAAGTACTTTTCAGAATCTGAGTCAAATCTAATGCGTGCTTAAATAATTGGCACTGGAAAATATTCTCCCTTGTTTATACATGCATCTCTGATCAGTAGTCCTGAAGATAGCACACTATCATTACTAAAGTGGGTATATGAAAGTAATACAGTAATTAATGAAATCACAATGTTCTTATGTATTATTGCAATGTATGGGAATCCTAGCCATGTATCCCTGTTACTCCAGATGCTGGCTTATGTAGGTCTGGTGACAGTGCGTATACATCGCGCTAGGCAGTGTGCATTCATAACAAAGACAATGCCGAGCACAAAGAACTCCTAAGTAGACCAAAGACAACAATGGGATGAAAGTAGGTAGTAAAATTACAGTAGAAGAATAAGATTTATCGGTCACCATAGTAGAGAGCAGCTGTAGCACATCAACGCTGTAGTTGTCACAGTTTCTGTAGGCATTATGGCAAAGAAGTTTTAAGAAGGGATCTGAAGCAAGATAATGAACTCTGTTAAGACTAAGACTCTAATCCGAAAGCCTATTTAAATGAATAGGATTATTTCTGGTGATGTCAAGAGGTGTTAGATCAAATCTTCCAACATCTTATCTGCCAAGGGAATTTTATAATCAAAATTGCTGTAGGATTTTACAGAATTAAGCGTATTGAATTATACACAAGTATTCTAGGCATGATATGTTTTAACATGATTAATTCTTTTACGTTTTGAATAATTCTGCTAGTTGACACAGCACGATTTTTTTTCCCACGTTCTCTTGGCCTGGTTTTCAGAGATGCCAATAATCATAATTACCAGTGAATTAGAAATAAGACATTCTACATGTGTTTATAATTAATTATTTCAGCAGTGTAGTATCTTTAAAAAAACAATGCGGGATTTCCACTGAAAAGTGCGTGAGAGTATTTCTTCATCTTCTGATGAGATCAATGCAAAGGTGGTACTTTAAGTGTATTGTAACTGCACACTAAACATGTGATAAAATACATCACCCAATACAGTGTTTCATAACATCAAAGATTTTTTGTGCATTTGTTTGACTTCCAAGGATGTCTCTGAGCTGAGTGTGTGCTTACACTTTGTTTACACATATGCAGAGCTATCATGTATATTGTGATGAGGGAATTTCCTTGAATTAGGACCAACTTGTCAACTTCGAGTAGACACTTGTATGCAGCATTGCTTCTATTTGTCATGCAATAGGTGCAACATTTGTTGATGCTGAATTAGTATTTGAAAGAGTAACAGCCTTCAACTGAGGAAAAAAGTATAGTATTTGCCGAAGTGGAATAATGGCTTACTAATAATTAGGTGCTCATTTTAAGTATGCCAGATAACTTGAAGAAATAGCAAAAGTTATGGTGTCATTTGGGTTGAGTAACGTAAGAGCTGGTATTATTTTGCTTAGCGTTTCGTCAGCGCTTTGGATTAGTTTTTATTCTTAAATACAGAGATTAGTACTTATTGAAAGTGATCTCTTTCATGTTTCATACAATTTAGAGGAGATAATGGATATTTGTGTTTCTTGCCACTTAAATTACAGTAGTGATCTTGCAACAGAAATAGGTCTCTTGTAGACCTGCTGATCTTTTGCTGTTAGAATTAAGTTAATCATGACTTTCTAGCAAGAAATGGGTTAAATATGGCAGCCCAGCTACCTTGACTTTACATGCTTTCAGGCTTATTTGTATTTATTAATATACATTCTTACAAAATGTTACTTAGCAAAAAAATTTCTGGTTAAGATTATAGATGGATATGCCCACTTAATTGTAGCAATTTTAAACATCCCATGTGCAGTTAAAAACAGGGAAATCATTATATAAAGTTTTATTTAAAGATAGAGGGAGAGTAATTAAAAATATATCTGTTCCTTTAAAATTCTGCTTTCCTTGGCAGTATAAGGAGTGGGGGGGAAAAAAAAAGCTTTTCTAAAAGCTTTTAAGTCTTTACTATGTTTGTTATAGAGTGGTGGTACTTCACTTGATTTCTAGTATTTTTATAATATCGCAGCGCGCTCTTTTAGTGCAATACACTAGCTGTCCGTAATGCTCTGTGTGGTGTTGTTTGTTTTTTTTTTTTTTTAAATGCCATTATAATTATAAGAACATTGAGTTACAGTACCCACAGTTTTTTCTTCTGGCTGAAATCCCGCCCCTGTTTGATAAATGCTTATTGAGGGCTCTTGAACTGTAGTTATAAACGTGATTTAGTTCTTTGTGCAGGCAGAGAGACTTATCTTTGTCAAAAACATTTTGTGTCTCAAGAAGTGGATTTCTCCCTTTAAAAAAAAAAACAACAACCAACTTAAATCACAGATCAGCTGTCTAGATGCAGCCAGGTTTGATATGGAAGGACTAGTGTGCAGCTGGAGTTCTTGTCTTGAAAATGAAACCTTAAATTCATCCAGGCTTTGCTACGTGTATCCAAAAATACTGTCAAAATCTGAAAATTTAAAAAAACAACAAAAAAATCTTATGAGAAGCCTAAAAGATTGTCATCCTTACTTTCTTGGACATGTTTACATCAGCAGTAGGCTTTTTGGTAGTACTGATCTAAAGCTGATGAGGTTATCCGTATTGGTGTCTTCAATACATTGTTCATCGCAATTTTTGCCTTGAACTACAAAGCCTTAATATTTGAACATTTATGCAGAGCCTTCCATGCACGTGTAGAGGAAAGAGCCTCCATAGACATGAAATAAACTCTACCCCAAGAAGAAGGGAGGACAAAGATCTTTTTTCAAAGTCGTGCTTTTCTGTTAGGTTGTACATGGTATAGTACTAAGGCATTGCCTTAATGCCTTAGTCAGGTACCTACTAAAGACAAATATATGCTGACTTACGTTTTTTTTGTTTCTTTTTGTTTGTTTGTTTTATTTGTTCAGGTTTACCAAAAATGCAAGTCATTCGAAACTACAGTGGAATACCACAGCCGGCGACACAAGATGGTCCACCGTTACATATCCAGGTTGGGGACACTGTTGAACTAATTAAAGGAGATGCACATAGCTTATTTTGGCAGGTATTGTATCATTTAGCAAATGGCTATATTCCATTAGTCCCAGATATCAAATTCTTATTGATATATTGCTCTTGTAACTTTTTTCCTTTTTGAACAACAAAAGAATATCTTCGTGTTTTACCCAAAATAAATGTCTAATACAATGATTTTTACTTTTAAAGTGACAGTAGTTCCTATATTGTGTGAAGCTTCATTCTTCCAGCCTTAGAGTAAAAGTCCTACTGAATAAATCTGAAAGACCATGGCATTAGTAGCAATCCTTCTAGTGAAATTATAAGAGTTAAGGTGAGCATTTTGGCACATAAAAGTCCTGTAAATTTTCAGTCACTGCTGCTCTAACATAGTAGAACCAAAAACTGTATTGGCAAAACCCAGTTATGAATATTAGATTTATAGGGGAGGGAAACAGCTCTGCAAAACAGAACCACACCTAAACTTCTTGATGACCTCTCAAGTCAGTAAAGGACAGGGGTTTTTTTATGTACATGGGAAAAGTGTATTCTGTTGGTGGCAAAATTCAGTATCATGATTCACATCACTACTACTGCTACTGAAATTTCTTTTTAATTGGAAACTATAAACTGGTTTAAAATGCTGTCTTGCATTTGCTTTAAAGATAAATGCATTAAAGCATGTCTCATTTTTCTTGATTATTTTCTTAATAGTTCATACTAGAATCCTGGGTACTACTGATATTACTGCATAAATGGAAATAGAGCTAAATAGACGAACTTTCAGGATATTAATAGAACAACAGCTGGGAAGCAACTGTCATTGTCTTGAATTGTTTTTCCTATGTTTGTCTTCATGATTTTCTTTCTTCTTTGAGGGTACAATAAGTTAATGAATAAAATTATAAAAATTGCTCACTCTGTCGCATGAGTTGGGTCATACTTTTTTTTTTTTTTTACTGGCTTCAGTTAGGATTAAGTCTTCTACAAACTTTTCAGGATTGAATCGGTTCCTATGCCACCACATCACCCTGAACAACATTTAACTGGGGGAAGTAATAAACAATAGAGTTGCTTTGTCTATTAAAAAGTATGTAAATAACTGTAAACCGCCCCCCGCAACTAACCAAAACCAAATCCAACAAACAAACAAACCAACCCTCCCCCAAAACCCCTTAAACCTGTTATTTAGCAGACCATAGATATTTCACATCACTAAAAATAATTTTTTTCAAATGTTGGTTGGCAGATTTTGGCCTATATAGTTTTATATGTAGGTCTAGGTTCTGCAATGTCTTGAGTTCTGATCCAGAGAAGCATTTAAGCACGCACTTGATTTGGGACTGGCTAGAAGGTAATCATCTGACTAATACAATTAGTACAAGCCAGAACTATTGGCACCTTGTGGGACTGATTCTATTACCATGTTCATATATATCCGTTAACTCAATCTACTGGAATTTGTCTTAGATGTTATTTGTACCTATTGTGCCAAAGAATTTAGCTAAAATCTTTCTGTGTTTAACTATCAGAAACTGGGAAGTGTATGAGCCTTTTCCCCCAGAAGCCTTAGTAATAGATTTGAATCTTAATGGAAATTGTCATCTCCATTAGCATCATTCAGGAAATTTCTTTTTTTTTCTCACAAGCTGTCTTGTCACAGACTGCTTAATACAGATTTTCCTAAGTCTTGTAATGACATCTGCATTTTAAAATGCATATTAAGAAAAAAAAAACCCTGCAAAACACAATTTTTATTAAAATATGTAAGTTTTATTCAAGAAGTGTTTTAGACTAATTTACAGCTGACCTGCAAGACTAATGTTAGAATGGATTTTTAAGTCAACTGTCCCTCAGTTTAGAATTTCAAGTGCTTGTAATACACTTAAACCACCCATACTTGTCTAATTTTTTCATTCTTTACAGTACATCAAATAAACACCACAAGTTACTAAGCAATGCTTAAGCTATAGCTTAAGTGTGATCAAATGTATTTTGATAGACATTAAAATTCTGGTAAGTTAATGTTTGAATGTTCAAATAGCAATTTATGTGGTAAGTTCTGTAGTAATTCAATACCATACGGTCTACCTGTTACGCAGGCTGGAAAACAGAAGTGTGGGGTTTTTTCTTTATGAAACAGCAAATGCTTTTCTGAGAGGCAAACTGTGCAATCACAAAGAAGATAAAGTGGCTGGGATAAACACTTCTGAATTCCATGAATTTGCTTTCTGCCTCTTTGCAAGTATCATCCAAAACCTAAGCTTTCTTCAAAGAGAATGTGTAATATAGGGGGATTGATACTGATTGGGGGGATTGACTTTGCTCAGTCAAGGTGCAAGACTAGAAGACCCATGCTGCTTGCCTAGCTGGTGCCCGGCTGACATCACTTGCAGAATGAAATAAGAAAAGGAAGAGGAGCTGGGCTTGCGGAGAGAGCAGAAGACTCTGTGTTTTATATGGAAATTTCAGACCCCTTAACCAGCGCACTCTTAGTTGTTTCAGCTGTAGTAGTGCAGCTTTGAAGTAGTCAGATTTTTATTATAGATGTGCATATTTCTCTCCTCTTCTGAGTTTGGTTTGAGTAAAATTGGTATCTGTTTAACCTGAAGGTACGCTTTCAGGGGTGCCGCAATGCCTACCATAAGATATAACGTAATTCTAGTTTCACAGGTTTGCATTGCAATTACCTGCCATCCTCAGGCAATCATGTTTCTCAAGTATGCCAAAAGAATACAGATATTTCCTAGTCTGATTCTTTCCTTTTTCAAAACCAGCTTTTCTTTGATGCAGATTAAACCCATATCAAGTAATAGCTATTACAGATGTACTTTCTAATGCTTCAGTAGTTAGTGGTCCTGCTGTAAACAGCCAAAAGGCATTCAGTATATTGTAAATATACTTACGGCATAAAATGGAAACATTGGGGAGGCAGCACTATATAAACGCCATTTTTTCTCCTTTTGGTTTGTAATTCGGTTTGTACTTTTTTTATCTGTCTCCTTCCTCTCTTCACCACACTGCAGTAAACAAAACTAAAACGAGTGAAGGACATGATAATTTATAAATTTTAGCTATCCTGGAGTTCTAGTTCTTTGCATGTCCAATGAAGTTAATGGTTATTTCATAGCTAAGTAACAGGGAGCAGTCTGGAAATTTAGAGCAAATGTGTCAAATGGCTTCAGAAAGTCTCCCTCCTTAAAACAGGTACAAGGGTTTTGAGTCAGCCTCTAGTCTTGCTGAGACCATCATTGACAGCAATGGACTGAAGGGCGTCATTGGCCCTTATATATATGAATATGTATACACACATACACATACATGTAATAAATATTTTAATATATATTATAGTAATTTAGAAATACACTGTAATAGTATATACATCTTAAAACTAGTTCTGTCCAGTCCTTTTGCTTCTGCTTTTACAATGACCATACGCCATTATAGGTCAGTGTTCAAGGGAAATGCTTACTCATCAAACAATAAGCAATTAGCAAGCAGGAAACATAAAATAGAAAGAAATGATTAGTAGAAGTGAAGTATGGTGGCGTAAGAATTTTGCTGTTATTAATGAGTTGATGGATAGATCTTAAAGTTTGAAATCATCATCTGACAACAGGTCATGGTTTTGTGTATGGGCGGTACCAAGCCTTGATGGATTTAGCTAGGATTTCTAAAGTAAACAAAATAACCCAGTCTCCTAAGGACATTATAAAGTTATTCAAATGAGCTCATTATTGACAGAGCATTTAAAAGTGAGTTGTTTTCTTCAGCAATGTGTAGTAAATCAAACTCAGTTCTGTTTAAGGATTTGCTTTTTTTAACTACAAAGGCAGCTGCAGTTGTCGCGTGTGAAGTTTGTTTTCAGAAAACAAGCTTTGCTTGTCTCAGTGCTTGTTACATTCATGGTATTGCTCAAAAAGCAAAGGCAAAGTTTTGTGCTGGTCACAGTACTTGGGGCCATTTTGTGTGATGAGAGTCTGTCCATGTGATTTCTCTACTGCTGCTTTCACTTTGGTCTTGGTGTACTGTTGATAGAACACATACTTCGCTTGTAGCCTCTCAGCCCAACAAAGTGACGCATCTGTGTCCCACAGGTGCACAAACAGCATCTTCCAACAAGTGGTGACATTTAAGAAAATTGTAGGATCGTTGCCTGGGCAGAGGGCATTTCTTAATGCTGTACCTCTCATGTAAGTCAGTCCACTGCTGATGTAGTTTCTCACCACTTCATTTCAATGAATGTTCAGTGTCCTCCAGATGATTTATTTTTTGCTGCAAGTGCCATTGACTTGTTACCTACAGAATACTTAAAGTGCACATTTATGTTACAATACAGTCTATGGCTTGCAGTTCAGTTTCTTCATTGTACATGTATATATGTTGTAATGTCTGCATTGTGATAAGGATTTAGCTAGTGTGGACCACAGCTAATCCTCATGATCTTTGCTGCTCTGCTGAGATTTTAATTTGCGGTTCATATTCACTGTGTACTGCTAGCGGTATCTAAGCTAGGTAATGTAATGCTGGTATACATCATATTTTTCCATGGTCTGGTCTTTCCGTACATGCTACAGTTTCTTCAGTGGAGGTAATGTGGCTTTTTTTTTTTTAATTTATTTTTACTTGAGGTCATAGAACAGCACAGTTTGGTATAATTCAGTGCATATTGAAATATTTTAATGCCTGCAAATGAAAGCTGGCTTTCATTCTAGATTTCAGGGGGTGTAGATACATTTCTGGAAAAACAATAGACTTAATCCTGTAGGTATCCAGACTGTATTTCTGACTTGCAGGATGAAGCACTATAAACATTATGAAACACTATTGAACATTTGAAATTATGTCCCTTTTTTCACTTTCGAAAGGTAACATAGGGGTCTGTCCCTGAGCTCATCAAATTTTAATCCTTGGGTGCTTTCTAGTTTTTGTGGACATATGTTGCATGATGTGTCATCTTGTCCAGCTTCTTTTGCTTTATATAAATACTTCTCATAAATAGCAATGGCGTGTGGGCACATACAAAACTAATTTCAATTGTGCTCCTCCAAATGCTTTTTCTCATTAATATATTTTATTCAGTGGCTGGTCTTATTGACTGTGATATCACTTGCTATTCAGATAAGATTAATAGTGTAAGTATCACTTAGATGGGAGACTGTGTCAGAGCTCTGCTTATAAGTTAAGTCTGTACTTCAGAGGGTTTCACGTTTCGGAAGTAAATAGAATATATGGGTACAAAGGATAACCTGTATTCAAGCAGACAGGGGGAAATAGGGCAAGCGGAACACAGATTCAGATCTGTGAGACTGTCAGTTGTTTGCACAGAGTTCTTTGTTTAATATCATCGCTATTCAGCATATTATAACTTAAATACAGCTTAATTGCTTTTCTTTCTCCTCTGCCGCCTCTGCACTTCTCTGTATATTTGGTAAAGATGGCAGTCACTGGGGTTATGATCTGTGTTTGGTAAATTGCATAATAATCTCCCTAGGAAAATGACGCACTCATTTATTGTGCTTAGGATATCACAATCAAAGAATGCTTTAATTTTTTCATAAACCGTTGTTAATTTTTGCTTTTACATTCAGCTCCATCCTGTTTGAAAGTGCTGAATTCTGTTTTGTGTGGAGATGTTACAGAACAATTACACATTTAGTGTTACAGAAACAAAATGAACTAAAACCCCCCAAAAATTCCATGTCTGTTTCTGAAGCATTTTTTCCCCTTGTAAATTTTGTTGCAGGTATGTCAGAAAAAAATAAATATAATTTTCAAGATTACAGTGCTTGTAAAGTACTCACTTTTATCTCATTGCCAAGTGCTGATAGTATGTTATGTTTACAATCAGTATATTAAATTTAATGGAGGTTAGGCATTTATGTTCTTTTAAAAATCTGTTCAGGTGTATCAGCTATAATTATTACTTAATTCCATAAATTTTAAGGAAAAAAACAACAAAAAACCCCACACAACTGTTGAGTAACTCTTCATTAGAACAGCATTTTATTTTAAAGACTCTTTGGTATACTCTTATTGTACTAAATCCCTGTGCATGTATTATTATTTACTATTAATCACCATTATATCTCAAAAATGGAAAATTTTGGGGTTTTTTTGTAGGGCAGAAATCTAACAACAGGAGAACTTGGATTCTTCCCAAGTGATGCAGTAAAGCCTAGCCCATGTGTAAGTACAATTGTTTCATTCTGTTTGTCATCTTACAGAAAAACTGCCTGGTTGATGCCATCACTTTATTAATCTTACCTTACGAAAAAAATACTGTTTCTAGTTCCTTTGTGTTTTCCTGGTATGTTCAATATTGCTTAAAATAGAGCATTCTAATACTTCTTGTTGTCGTACGTAGATAGGGCATGTCAAGAAAACATCTTCGAGAAGCAGATTTAACTTCTGGGAATATTAATAAATTGAACTGTCTAAATAGTTTCCAGAATATAGAACAAACACACTTTATGTGAAAGTGTACTTTCTTCCTTCCCCAGCAGTCAGGTAAGAATGCTGTGGTTCTAATCCATTCACCAGTCACTTTGGGTTAGAGAGAGGGATTACACCAGAGTAAAACTAATAGAAAACTTTGAATTCAGACTACTCGATAAATTTTCTGCTCTTTGTAGGTTCTTCCCTGCCTTTATTTTACACAAGGGTGTTCTCAATGTAGAAAAGTTCAGGACAACAGTAAGAAAATTTGTTTTATAATATGTACTCAAGAGTTTTGTATACAGATGTGATGATGTATTAATATACTGTATGCTTGTTCCTTCATTCTCTGCCCTCTGTAACATTGTGCACCAGATTACTGTGTCCCTTTGAGATTAATTGGTGTAAACCCATAAAACCAGTGATGAATGATATTCCTTCCTTTGCTTTAAGACAGCTTCTTTTAAGTTGATTCACAACAGTTTGACTTTATTAATAGAATTGCTTTCATTACAGCAATCAAGATATACCACTTAAATGGTTTATAAGTAGGTGGAATCAGCTGTTAGCGGCTGCATTTTGATATGCCTTTAGGGCTTGTATTGCGCCTTATTTTCTAAAACAAATTTACATGTGCTCCTAAAGAATATAAATTCATTAGTATACCTTGAGACATCCTTAGTACCCTGTATTTTCAGAATTTTCTTTGAAGAGGGATGCACAGAATACAAGGTGTGTTAGATTGTGCAAGAGAACAGATCTGGAATAAAGATGAAAATGTTACATGAACTTAGCTTTCTTCCCTCCACCCCTTGCTTATTGTAGAAGTTCTGGATTTCCTGTGCCATGGTGTCACTGACCTGGGCAGAGGCAGTACCTGCTATGTATTGGCCTTAGGTTCTGGGAGCCACCCAGTCAGTCATTGTACTCTATCATTGACAGCAACTGTGGCAACATTTTAGGAACTGCCAGTATACTTTAAAGCAGAAGGAAGTGGGATATCCAAAGTTAGGAAAAACGCTGCTGGGGTATTGTGAAGATTGCTTTCTAGTGATAAAGCTTTCTGCTAAATTTAAAATATACTATTTACAGGAGTATTGAAAATAATACAGTTTTACAGCATGAATAAATATTATTCATGAAATGTTACCAACTGGTGTCATGATAAGAACAAAAAGATAAATTGATACTTCATCCCCGTTAACATGGAAGGATGAAATATAAACATCTTACTATGATAAATGATGCAGTTAAGGTTACAGAAACATCAATCAGGTTTTAAACATGCTATAACTTTTACTGTTATTAAGTCTAATAGTCTTTACAACCAGCTGATATAAAAATGCCCAGAAACAGCATAAAATACATACATCAAAAGACTTTAGGAATGAATATTGAATGAAAAACTGCTGAGCTCCAGAATATCTGTATTCCACACTTTTTACAGATGTACCTATAAACATTTTTTTTTCTTCTTTGCAATAAGTAATATATGTCAGCAGACATTTTCTGCACCATATGAGTAATGCCTGGTTTTCCTTAGCTTTCCTCCAGTTTTCTCATTTTTGTAGAGACACTGGACACAGCACAGTATGAGCCAAGAGCTTCTGGAATAACATTTGATTTTACTCTGTTTCATGACAATGAACAACACTTGTTTTATATTTATATATAAATACATGTATCTATCTGTCCATTCAAAAATAACGAAAAGGACTACTCATCTATTGTTTAACTGCTCTGGAGGGTGGCTTAAACCATCTCTGAATTTTCATATCCTGTCCAACATAGTAGAACTACTTGACAAATTAAGAATTTTCTTTTTAAACTATTCTTTCTTCTCCTGCAGCTGATAGAATGCATGTTATTTAATTAGTCCTGTGGGGAGTACAATCAAAAAATCCTTAAAGGTGCGATTCTTCTGTAGATGAAACGCATAACTGCAATGTCTTGCAGCATGTAAAGACTCTGTAAGTGCCTAGTTGGCCTTGAAATGTCTCATTTGGTTGCTTGACTAAAACATTTATTGTAGGAATTCTTTGTCAGCATATTTATAATCTATTAACTTTTTTGCAAGTCTCACCATTAGAGGCAGAAGTGCCTGAGTAACACCATCAGTAGCTGTAGGGGTATGAAGTGCCGCTGCTGCTGCCAGCGGTAGCACCTGGCTGTGCTAGGCCCCCCACACTTGAAAGGGGTTTGCATACCACCAGCACTACAAATCCTGCTGTTTGAGAGCCCTTTGTCTGCACTTTTTGGGAGTAATGCATGTTTCCTTTTTGTCTCTCCAGAACTAGACTAACTTAATGATTGTTTTAACACCTGGATAGATTTAGTGTTTTGCAAGCTGAACATGGGACCCTGGTTTTATCACAGAGAACTTTAATGTGTTCCACACTAGTTTCTGCTTTGTTAATCAGAAAAAAATGTGAGTTTTGGGCTGTCCTGTAAGATTCAGAATTTTATCATAAAAATCTTGTATTGAGAGGCATTGGAGTAAGTAGTTATGTATTTAGTTTGAGTGACCATTATGTCAAAGACAGTAAGCAGAGTTTTGTGAACTCTGCAAATTTTGGTTCATGGAAATGAATCTTAACAGTGCAGGGATGGAAGTTGCATCTTGGGTAAATTTAAAGTTAGCCAAAACCCTATCCTTTCACAAAAACCTGGACAGTTTTGTTTACTTCTGTGGAGAAAGAGAAGTTAGGAGACATACTAATTTAATTCCTAATCTTTTTTGAAAACTTTGTCAATAAGAAAATGTTCTGGAGTTAACTAAGAATATACTTAGCCAGTGTTTTCAGTGAAGCGTTTGGAGTAAGTGCATTATGTAACTCTAGTATTGAGGCTTCTTAGCATGAAGGTGAGAGCCTTAAAATGGTGAAATGATAACAATTCTTACATGTTTCAATAATTTAGTACTTTTGCATTCCACTAACTGTGCTTTTTTTGAGGAGGTTGCAAGATAATATGTTACCAACACAAATGGTTGTAAATATTATATTCCTCGGTACATTCCCTCAACTCAGGCCATCTGCTGCCTTCTGGTTTACAATATCCTGGTTCAATAATTGCTTTGTAGCTTCCTATTCTACTTTTTTCCATTCAAAAGCTGCCTGTTACTACCTCAGCAATACTGCTAGAATATACCATAGCATTTTGAACAGGTTAACACAAAAATTTTGCATTACTTGACTCTTGCAACTTTAGCTGCGCAATACTCTGATTAAATATGCGGGGAGCTGGGGTTTTTGTGGTAGTTGTATTTGGTGTTGTGTTGGTTTTTTTGTTTTGTTTGTTGTTTCTTTTAAAAAAATATTTATTTATTTATCTGTGGGTTGTTGTTGTCGTTGTTGTCGTCCCATCACTGGAGTTTGTTTCAAGGCCAGGTCTAGAGACTTGATAGAGATCTCTGTTGATACCTGAGGTCAGATTAATGGGAGTTGTAATTGATTTCAATTTCAATTAATTTAAGTTTGTAGGCCTGTATAATAATATTTCCTAAACTGAGCTGTGTTTGGAAGTCTCTGTTGAAGATATTCCATATATCATATATAAAAAAAAGTGTGAGAAGAATGTTACTGTAATTTTTCCCTGTTAGATTCCAGAAAATAATAAAACATTCTTTGTTTTACTGGAAGAAAAAAAAGAAATAATTTGCTTATCTAAGAATATATGACAGTAGGTTATAAGTCTGCAGGATGTATACTAAGCTTCCACAAAAGTCAATTTTTCAGCACTTTGCAAGTTTCACACAAGAAGTAGTGAGTACAAGAGTAGGGTAATACTGAAGTATCATGCGCCAATGGGACATTGTCAAGATGAAATGGGGATTGCTATACGCTGCATCTTGTGCAGGTATAAACATTACCTATGCATATGTTTATGTATATGTATGACATCCATTTTGCAAACTGATTGTAGTTTGCTTGTTTTTTTAAATTGAACTTGAGAATCAAATTCTATGCTTATAAAAATCCAGTATAAGGGTTAACCAAGTGAAATACAAAGGTATGAATGATGTCATGCAGTACAATCTATGGATTATCTGCAACTCTCTCGGAAGATGATGTACTCTTTCTAAGCCATACAATCCTGAAAACATTCTAACAGTTTTATTAAGAAAAAAAAACCTGTCACAGCAGCAAAGAGTTAAAATATTCTGTACTACTTTCATAATGGTATGGTCCTTTGTTGTAACTTCCTTCAAAAGAAAATAGACGTGTGGGCTAATTAGATCACCTGTTTCTTTTAACTTGTTTCATCTGGATATTGACAATTAGATCAACACTATCTAATTTGTGTTTATTAGGAAAAAAATCTAGATCCTCATTCTCTTGTATCTTTTCATGTCCTAGGTTCCTAAACCAGTAGACTACTCTTCACACCTGTGGTGAGTCCCTCTCTAGTCTTACCAAAATCTCTTTGAAAGAAGCAGTTATAGAAAGACAACTGTGTTTATTACAATTTAATTTATATTGGTTTAACCTTTCTAGGCTTCTGAAGAAGGCATTGTGTAATGGTTTGGGAAAGCAACACCATGCATTGCCTGAAAGCATTTCTGATGTAATAAAGTGCTTTATGATTTTGACATTTTGTTTACAAGGCTGTAGCTGTGCAGCCTTAGTCCCAGAGGTCTGAAATAGAATAATAAGAGAAGAATATAATATGAAGGTGTGCAAGTACACTTTACATGTTAAATGAGTAAAGAGAAGGAATAATGTTAAATACATCTTGTCTCATGAATAATTCTGCATTTCCTTTAAAAAAACCCACAACAAACCAAACCAACAAACAAAAACCACTGTAGAGACATAAAAGGACGGTGTATCAAAATTGGAATGCTGCTGGTCCGGGGCTTAATCACAGAATCATTAAGGTTGGAAAGGACCTTTAAGATCATCAAGTCCAACCATCAGTCCAACACCACTGTGCCCACTAAACCATGTCCTGAAATGTGTGTGTGAACTCTTTACTGGAATTCAGCTCACTTCTCGAAAAAACATGATGATTCTGAGAGAACAGAAGGAGCATAATTTGTGTTCTTTCACTGATTTTATGCTTTGCCATTTAGACATGAGTTCTGATTTCCTCTAGTTTGCCACAAGTGAAATCGGAATCAGATCTAAACAAATATTGATTTTTTTAAATAACAAGGCATATAGAATATTTAATATATAAAATTGGTATTTTAAATTAAATTCTAACATTTGCTCTATTTATAATTTTGTTAGAAGAACGCATATAATTGGGATCTGTCTTTATCTTCTAAGAATTTGTAATACTTAACTGAAAAATGACTTTATGCTAAAACTTGCTGTAAGAAGTCATATATTTTGTGATAAATTTCAACATGCATGTTCCCCAGTGTGTTTTATGAAGTAACTATTTTTTTATTCAAAGCTCCATTCTAATTGGTACTGATGTATTAGTATGAAATTTTACATAGTAGTGGTCTGTGATGTTGACTACATTTAGACTACTTTCTAAAATGGTAAAATAAGCATAATTTCCCTGGAAGGTAGGTCACTTTACTCAATTAACAGTCTAACCTCTAGTATTGCAAATAAATTCCTGCTAACAGCCTCTCATGAAGTCTCGCCCAAACCAGCAAGGCAGAGCAAGGGCACAAATGTACTTATGCAGTGAGGCTGCAGAATCAGTGACTTACTTGTCTTATCTTTCAATTCTTAGCATCAGCTCTTTCCAATTTGGACGTACTAGGCTGCATTTTTTTCTTTTTTTCTTCTGGATGTTTAGTCTACCCTTTACACTTCAGCCTTTAGAGGTTATGAATAATTATGAAACCAAATAAAATACTGTATTTGTAGAAGTATCAAATTTTTGCATAGGTCTTTTTTTGACCTAATATACTACTGATGGCTGATTCTGCATTCTGTTAAGATAAATCCCACTAGAACTCAGGGAGGTTCAAAGGTTCTGGACCACTTTTTTTATTGCTTCACTTGCAACACATGATTCAGGAAAACATTTTGTTTTATGAGCTCTTCAAGCCAGTAGTGATTCAGCTAAGGCTCAGGTTTGAGTACTTTCCTTTAACAGGCTTTGGATTCAACATGTGCACAAGCACTTTCCTAATTAAGAATTTCCCCCCCGCATTGTGGAATTTTTTCATGCTTTATTCTTCATTCAAAGATCTGGAAGTGGTATTCAGTTGCAACTGAATATTTTTAGGTCCCTATCATATGCAGAATATTGGGACTCTGCATTGCATATTTGATAGATCTTTCTTTGTAGCTTTGAAAAAATCATAGGCAATTTTTATTGTTCTCTGTTGCAGGTTTGCAGGAGCAATGGAAAGATTGCAAGCAGAGAGTGAACTTATCAACAGAGTAAATAGCACTTACCTGGTGCGGCACAGGACCAAAGAGTCAGGAGAATATGCAATTAGTATTAAGTAAGTGGAATAAGATCTCCTATGGCAAATTTAACTATTCTCATTTATGTCTAGATAATATTTGAAATCAATAAGGAAAATAAAAACCTGTATCAATTTGTATAATCATACACAGCCTTTTAAGAGAATCAATGTAGGGAAACTGAAGCTGTTCACAAAAATACCCAGGATTTGCAGTAGGAAGGTAGCAATGGTTTTACAAGGCTGGTGCAGCAAACAGGTCTACAAAAATGATGGTCTAGTATATCACGTAAGAGTAAGTAAGTGTTTGGAGTGTAGTGTGATCTGCTTCTCTGAAATGAGTAAGAATGTTTTATTGACTTCAGTGAGAACTTGTCAAAGCCCTTTGCATCTCAGACGTTTCAATAAAATGTGGGTTCATAAATTCCGTGGATGCAAATTATTGTGAGGGTCTTGTTTGCTTTCATGTTGTTTATCAACATGAGTATAAAAGTAAGAAATATATGGGAAATCCCAGTTAGAATGAGCAGTTAGTTGTGACTTTCTGAATACACTTTACCTCTTCAGCTGTACTTTAATAAATATATTTGGTTTATTAGATGTCAACTTTGTTTTGGCACAGATATACATTTTGTCTTAAGAATTTATTCGTGTGGTGTTATTGGGGCATGCCCTCAGGTAACTATTGATTGTGTCTGATTAAAAACACATTTATATTCATAAGTTATTCATTGCCCACAGGTACAATAATGAAGTGAAACACATCAAGATTTTAACAAGAGATGGCTTTTTCCACATTGCAGAAAACAGAAAATTTAAAAATTTAATGGTAAGCATTGAGTAGGTTTTTAACAATGTGCCATTTTCTATGTAACTGTTAGTGAGAGCTGCTTTGGTTTGTGAAATTACAGAAGGCTGTGAGAGTGAGAAATTTGAATTGTGTCCATACCTGCTAATAGGATAATTTTTTGCATTTGTGGCTGATGCTCTAAGTGATGGTAGTACGTGCTTAAAACTATGTATTTGTATATAGGAGTGGACTGTGTTCCTTGCAGTGATGTGGAAGAGAGGAGGAATTTGAATCCCATGCATCAGCCCCCTGTGGATTTAGGCTGAATCTTGGAAGGAGAATTTGATGTCTTTGGAAGTCTTTCTCTATATAGTAATGATCTCTAAAAGTAGCTAGGTAAGGTTCCGTGCCAGCCTAGCATATGTACACATGTGCTGCGGAACATAATGATGCCTATTGATGTGTAAGTTCAGAGGGAGAACAATGTGAGGTGCAGCTGTGTCAGAAAGCCCAGAAAAACTCAGGAGAGGCTGGTTTTACTGTTGCATCAGGCAAAGAAGCATAGCTAGAGAATGGGGCTGTATAAACTGCTAAAAGCTCAGAAGTCCTTGTTGGAATAATACTAATCTGGAGTCAATATAGACTAGTCTAAATTAAAGCAACTGTGTGGCTATTTTGAACTTGTACTCTGTGGCAGCAAACCACTGACTAGCAGGCTATAGTAATAACACAGAAAACATAGGCGCTCTCGTTAACTTTCATTCCAACTATAGTCCTAGTTCATTCCCAGAAATAAGAGTTTGGTGTTATAATTGCCCAGATTAGAGAGTTTTCAATGTTCTGTCAGAACCATCTTGTACTGGCAAGAAATTCCTTTTCTTTGAACTTCAATTTGAAATAATTTCTTGATAGCTCCTTTTGCTCAGACAAGACTTGTAAATACAAGGTGTCTGAATAAATTAAAAACTTAGTGCATTTGTAAAATTTTACTGCTTAAGCATTTTCTGATGCATTGTTAAAAGAAGCTCGTTCAATATATTACATGCAATCAATTGGATTAAAACTTATGCACATCCAAGTACTCTAAACTGATAAAGGGCAATGCAAAGCAAGAGTAGGGAGAGAAGCTTTAAAACCAGGAAGCCGTAGAAATTGTTTTAATTTAACCACTGGTACTCTGTAAAGCAAGAGCATCCTACAAGCACTAAAAAATCAACCAGAAATCTATGCGTTGTCTGACCCTATTTGAAATAAGTGCTGATTAGAATGGTAAGAACATAAATTTCCTGATGAAGAATGCACAAAGCTGTTTCTGCACTCTAATGTCTTCATTTGACCCTTAAAACTGGTGAAGTGTTTAGTGTTAGGGCTGGAGACCCTGAGACCTTATCATCGGTAGCAACAGAAATCATGGCGTTCCTCAGATGCGTGAAGGAGGTGGCTACTTCGTTTGCAAACACTACAAATGATTCACTGGAAACTGTTGAGAACACGTGAGCACTCTCAGGATCTTGACGAAGCATGTGAGCTGGAGTCTGTGCTGCTAGGTATCTGCTTATGGCAATGAATCAGTTTAATGCACTGATGACAAGTTTGAAAATTGAGCTGAATGATCAGAGATGTAAGTACAGGACACAATCTTGGATAAAGAAGAAACAAAAAGAATATGCGTTGCATCAAAGAATTGAGAGGACAAAAGAAATTTCTAGTCTAAAGGCCTCATCGCTGCCAATTTAGACTTGCTAACATTCAATTAGGAGAAAGTAATTTCAAAACACGGTTTTAAGGTATTATGAAGTCTGCCCTTGAGAGCTAAATAGACAAGCGAGAGTGTAAGTACTGTTTGCATATGCTGTGCAACAACTGCTTTGTTCTGGGTAGATGCAAGAGAAAAAGTTAAGTGTCCGAGTAGAACTGGGAGCAGAAGAGAGACAAAGCCAGCAGCCATGGAAACCTAAAGTAGTAATCTGCAGTGATACAGTCTTCTGTACTACTTTGGAGGTAACAAAAGTAGAACTGCTCTTCATATAGTTTTCGTAGTACGTTTGACAAACTTTCACAAGAGTAATTAAAATGTGCTGAGTGTGTAAAGCAGGCCAAGGTGCAGTGAAAGGTCAGCTGTGCTGCTGGTGTGAATCATGGTAATGCAACAGACTCCTGAGGAGCCCCATCCATGCTGGCAGGAGCTACTTACCTTTCTTACCTGTTTGTAAGCTTGCTACTGTGTTTTGTGCAATGAATGTTTTAGAGGCCAGTTGTTTGTCAACTGTTTTCATGGAAAAGCAATATTAAAAACTCAGCTTTTAAAAGCAACTGAATCTGTGTCACCCAAAGTAAATTTTTTCTCAGTTTGGAACCATTTTACTTACTTTGCCAACAAACAAAATCTGTCCAGTTGAAATTCTTACTATTTTTACCAAACAACATAATTCTTACAAATTTGTGTGGTGCAAAAAGATAACAAAAGCTTCATACTAATTATTTTTCCATTTATCCAGAAATCCCACTTTGAATGCTGCTTACTTACAAATCACCCTCTCTGTTGCCTTGGTAATTTGAATGTCTGGGTACTCAGTGATGATGTATGACAGAAAATTTGGTTGGTGACATTGTAGCTTGCATGCTGTGCTGATCAGACAGCAAAGCCCTAACAGTTCTTAGTCTCCTGGCCTTTCTGCTTACTTGGAGTGCCCAGCAGGTCTGTGATTATGACTGTTAAAAGCAGGTGTAGATTTTACTCAGCTTTGGACTCTGCCATAGAAGCAGTTTCAGAGATGTGCAGGAGCTCTCAGTGTGGGAAGTGAAGTGCTCCAGAGTTCAGACGATAATATTTGGACTGTTACCAAGAACTTATGGTTTATGCACTAGATCTTGGACTAAATAATTTGAGAGTCATTTTGTTTGGTTGGAATGAATATATCACTGATGTAGGCTGTTGTAGGCTAATGATTTTGTTAATTTTTTTTTTCAACTGGAAGAAAATGATTGAACACAGTACTATTTCCATATTTTGATCTAAGCTTGGTTTGGTCAACTTTGATTTTGGGAATCTAAATATAAGTAAGTAGAATGGAATGACTAAGTTACTGATAGGAGTGAAGGGTTTACAGTAAATACATTGCTTTGTGCTTGCATTTCTGAAGAGTGAAATCCCACAGTTGAAGTATCATTAATCAAATGAAATACATTTGCTTTGAATTGCCTGGTCACTTTTAATTTTATTCTAGGCTCTGTGTACAAACTGTGTGATATTGACATTATTACGGCTAATTCAAGTGTGAGAGATAATGACAGAGGTTGAAGATCGCAAAGGAGTAACACGAGCTGTCGATGTTGTGATGTGTGTTGCCGCCTTTAGAATAGAAACTAAAGTAACTTATCTCCTTGGTTACATGAACTATTTAGCCAGTTTTTTATATGTTCATATATACGTGTTATATGCATATATGTAAAATTTGTATGTATATGTGTGTGCATATGTATGCTTATATATATACACACATATACACAGAGACAAAGTTTTGGATTGGACCCAAGGAGAATGTGAAATGCTGGACTTTTCAAGTGAGTTGTGCACTATCTGGAGCAAACAACAAAAACCCAACACCACCTCACCCTACACAAATTTTAATGGCAGAGCCTTGAAAGTTTTACATGGTCCATGTATTTGCTCATTATGTTCCTGTTGACTTACAGGGTTATATGCAAGCCTTATGCTTATTGCCTTATTTCCGATCTGTGTACTTACAAATGCATTCTTAGATAAACATCATTTATCATTGCAAAAGAAAATTGAGAAAACCAAGACAGTTACTGTTACATACTTAATAAGCAGCTGACCTTGCCTTCTGCCTGACTTCAGGAAAGCAAATACATGCTCAGCCTGGCTCAAAGAAGCAATGAGTGTTGACTCTGACAATAACATCTTACTTTAAAAAAACCCAACAAAAGTCAGTTAATTGGCAGTGTAAAAGCAGTCAATATTTAGGATACTTGATTTTTTAAAAATCAACATGTATTGTGGGATGTTGTGTTATTGAATAAGGTTACTTGTATGATGAAACTGTCATTGACTGTACACCAGAATGCTGAAGAGGATGTGATTTTAATTTCCAATGACATAGTATTTTTTCTTTCTGAAAGGAACTTGTAGAATACTATAAGCACCACTCTCTTAAAGAAGGCTTTCGAAGTTTGGATACTACTCTTCAATTTCCATACAAAGAATCTGAAAACTCAGTGGGACAAAGGACTAACAGAACAGCTGGCAACTGTGAGTATTATTAATTTTTGTATATTATTTTCTGTCATATAAATATTAAAAGGACAAGGTACCTTGAACATCTGCATTTTCCATTTTTGACATATAACCAATTAATGTGGTAATGCTTTTAGCTAAGATTTTTTGAAGTTAAGTGGATTCAGATCTGCTAGGAGGTTTATAATATGTCTAGCAAGTTTGTCTTGCTGACAAACTTAAAGTTTCCCTGATATTCAAATATCTTTTAGGCATGCTGGTGAGAGATTCAACTGCATCCTGCCTAGTTTTCTCAGACATTCGCATACATGCAGCTACAAGTGTTAATAATATCTGTGACAAAGTCTAATCCTTAAAAAGGGATTAAAATCAGTCTTGTAGTGTAGCCATATAAAGTAGCATCTTGGTAACCCACATAAATTTCTCAAAAGACCCATTAGATTTATTGTATCATAATTATTTTTATGCCCGCCTTTTAACCTTAAATGTTTACTAGGCCTCTGAGCTTCTGAAAGTTAATGAACTACTGTACAATGTAAACAGCAGTTAAAAAGTTTTGAAGTTTAGAAATAAACTGAGATGATTTACATTGCATATGGTATTTATTTAACCTTTTACAACTTAAGTGGAAGTTAGCATAATTTTTAGGACACGTGCAAGTTCAATGTTAATGATAAAAATTACCACATGGCTGGCCTCTGGAAAGTGTATAATGTTTCTGTCACAGAGCAAATATTAGATTTGCAGTTCTGCAGACAGTGGCTGTTATCTTTGTGCTGCAACAAGACAATAAGAGGATAATAAAAATTAATGGGTATTTTAACAATATGAAGGCTGCTGTGAAAGGCCGTTGAGTCCAGCCTAGTCTTTGTGACGATGAAGATGGCTGTGTTACTTCCATTTGCTATGTTTGTAAGCTTTTGTTTACTTGCTTGCCTCTGTTCCATAACGTTTCTGTAACATAGGAGACTTTCTTCCTCTCCTTATTAAAGTGAAGATAATGTAGGACAGAAGATTGTGAGAAACCAGTGTGTGTCTGTGCATTTCATTTACTCTGTCTCCCAATCCCTCTTTATTCCTTCCGTTTCTGTTTTCTTTCACTGCTTCCCGGGACTTCTGCCAGTTGTCTCCCTGCTATGCCATATCTCAGTATATCTCCATTCGTGGTGAATTTATCTGTCCTGCCATTTCTTCTCCCTTTAGTTTGCGATCTCCCTTTGCTTTTCTCTTCCTCTTGTCATCACTTGTGCTTTCCTCATCCCTTGCCCCCCCCCCAGAACATTGAGGCTTTAATTGCTGAGAGGATATGCCCTGTTTAACTTACTTTGTGTTTGTTTTGGTTATTATTGACTGAGCAGAACCAATTTGTTTTGTTTCTTTCTTAGGTCAGTTAGAATGTATCTATATTGTCCTCCACCTTATTAGTCTGCAAGAGCATTAGCTCAGTCATTTTATGCTTTACAGGATACAAGACTTAATAGTACATGCTCATTACCTTCAGTCCACATACAAAAGGAAACATCTCCTTTAACAAGATCTTTTAGGCAGTGTATAGAGGAGCAAGAGAAATGAGTGTGGGATGCTTTCATTTTAGTCAAGGGGATTTGAAAATGAATCTCTGCTACAGTAAATATCAGCCATTTAGTGCTACAAACTATGATGGTGGGAACTGGCAGGTTTTGTCTTAGGGCCAAACTGATCAAAAAACCTCTCAATTCTCAGACTCTTCATATAAAATCTAATAGATTTCCACAATTCTGTGAGCCTACCTAGACTGACTCTGGATGACACCTTCTTTTAAAGGATTTGACTGTTTTTTTTTTTTAACGTTTTAGCATGTCACCGTGAGTGTGTATGCTGGGTTTTTTTTTTTCTTTAAAAAAAAATATGCCATTATTAACAGCCCATCTGTGAGTCATGCTGCTCAGTTTTAAAGCTATCCTGTTAGTCTTTACCAAGTTGGTGTTAGGATAACTATGTATCTAGGCTGTGTGAACCCTGCTGGGCTGAATTTGGAAAGTAGTTGCTAAACTTCATGCTGCAGTTTTACTTAGTAGAGGAAGCAAAAAAGTTACTGGGCAGTGGTTGGACATTCAGTTTACTTCACAGCCATCAGTGAGAACTGCCACACATCTGGTTTTTTGACCTCTTCCCACTTAATCAGAGTGCAAGGAAAACAGTCATTCAAGGGAAGCCAGACAAGTCAGCTGAAGAGAGAGAGGGATTTCCCTCCCCTTGTTTTTTTTTTTCTTTCAGTTGTGCAACTACTCAGTGTCACATTCACCATATTTTAAGAAGCACGTGGCTGAAGCTGGTGAATGCAATGGACTTTAGCAGTTTGAAGCTGATTTTAAGGAGGTTTTGTGTTTCAACTCTGTATTTTTCACTATACTGTTCACATGACTGGATTTTTTAATGAGGCCATCTTTTGGAAAGACATCAGCTTTTTATTCAAAAAAGCTGATCTTTAGCATATATAATTGACAGAATAAGTGGGAAAAGTATTTCTAAAAAACATGAGTTACACCACTGTAGACTTTGACAGAGTTGTTTCATTTTCTGCTGCCAAAGTCTTTGATCTGCTGTGAAATAGAATGGCAATACCAATAAATTTCTCGAACAATGTGCAAAAGTATTATATTAATTTTTTTGTAATTGTCGTGTTTTCATTTACCGACTGAAGGAAAGAAAATCAAGTGACATTTCAGTTTACTTGTAATTTCTGAAACAAATCATAATAAATCACCTTGTAACTTCTTAAATTTTCAGGGAATTTGATTTTTCCCTTCAGCATCTACTAGATTTTTAGAACAAAACCGTTCATTTTATGGAGAGAGTTAATTTGGCTTCCCACTTAAATTAGAACTTTGCTTTTTAGTCTCCTGGTCTTGCAGAAGTCACACAGTCTGTTTGCATATTTATTGTACACTTTTAATGTGGTTGAAAGAGCTGTCAGACATCTACTTTTCTCAGTATAGAAATTCAAGTTAATTAGGAAGATTTTTTGGGGAAATGGTACATTCTTTCTTCTTAATTTTTTACTCTTAGGTTTTTCTAGACATAGTATGATCAAGTTTTGTTTTGCTACACAGAAAAATACATTAAATTCTTATTGTATTGTAAAGTATTGTAAATACTTTACAAAAATTCTTACGTTAAATGGTTGATCACCCCTCTAATTTAATGAAATAAAAGCAAAAATGGAAGAACAGTTGACATTCTTCTACAGAATAGCTTTTGGCACTTTATTCCAATCTGTGGAAGTAGAGCACAATCATATTGAGAAATCTGAGTCTTTATGAAATTTAGATTTTACTGTAACCTAAATCACGAAGCCAAATACTATTTAAGTGACTGTTTTCATCACCTGTAGACTAGGAGTAGATACATTAACTAGTTATATCGTGTCATTCTACTACTTAATGCATTAACTATGTAAAAGTATCTGCTAAGAAAGTAAGATAAAACAAGTGTCACCCCAACCCTTAAGGAAACAAAAGAACTCAGCCTTTTTCCTTAAAAGCCAACAACAAAACCCTTATTAGTGATGTATAAAAATAGAGTAGTTATCTGTAGAAATCTAGTAGGCTTTCCTTGCCCACGTAGGTTTTGGTTGTCCAGAATTTCACATGTAAAACCAAATCTCCAATTCTATTGAACAGAAAAATTCTCAAAAATTAAGATAATACATGGACGGGAAAGGATCAGCCACCCCTTATATAACAACCTGTCTTTATTCCTGCACGCTACTTTTGCACACTATCATTGTACTTCTGTAGAAATAAAGGTAGTTATTTGTCTCTAAGAATGGGCACACTAATTCAGTCAAGTTGCCCTTTCTGTTTGCGTAACATATTTCCACCCAGAGCTGTCACCTGGGGTTACTAGCTGCAGTATAAAGGAGCTCCTCAGGTAACCTCATGCGTTCTCAGATAATCCATTTAGTATTAAAGGCAGAGAAATGGTCATCACTGAAGGGTCAAAAGGGAGTTTCTAGTGTGCAAGAGTCCCTGGAGTATGTTTCTTTTGTATTACTTTGAGATCCTAACCTAAACTGCTGTTGGTTTGTGGTGTGGGTTTTCTTTAACAAATAAACCATAGCTTAGGAATATTAAAATACAGTATTGGTCCTGTTTATTTTATTTATGTTGGTATTTTCATTGTCACAAATGTGTCTATTCTCATCCAACCGCAAGATGCACAAAACTGTATCATTGCCTCCACCATGGCTTCCTTGTTAATTCCTTGCATAAAATAGTTTGAGTCATCATTCCTGCAAATAACCATTCTGAAGCAAAATGATTTTGTTTCATATGTAGTCACAAGAATAAATTCAGCGAGGCAGCTGTATGTGATGAATATAACCCTGCTACATTTTTAAGGAACACTCTTGGTCAGTAATTATAGATAATAATAGGCATAATTTAGAGGCTACATTATCATTTATCCAGTTGAGGATGGACTTCTCTTTCCAAATCACAGCTGGGAGCAAAGATCCCAACTTTATTAGACTTTATACACTATATATCTTCACTGCCCCTTCAAAAGAGGGACAAAATGTGAGAACTTGTCAACAAACTGTTGCATCTGAAGTGATTTTTAGCTCATTGCATCTAATTTTGCATATAAAAATATGTTGACCCTAGAGTTGTTGGCAATAGAGCAAGTGCACCTCTAACCTTTCACCTGAGGAAGCTGTTACAGGGACTAGGATGATGTGCTCTTTCTGCCTAGACCAAACTTACGCTTTTTTTTGCTTGCTCAAGGGTTTTCTCTCAAGTCAGGGAAAACTGCAAAGATGAGAAATAGTGTTTGGGACTTAGAGGATGTAGTTTAGCTGTGGAATTCCTATTGATGTTAATGATTATCAGGGCAAAATGCATACTTTTTCCCATGCATATTATGAGATCCAAGTTCAAATGGTACTTAGTCCATATTACTAATTGAGGGCGTCTGACTAGTCTTCCTGGGATCAAGAGGAATTCTTATGTATGCATGAGTTCCTGCTTTTGTAC